AAAAGCATTCAATAATATTCAAAAACATTGACTTTTTTTTACTACACCTAATATAACAGGATAGTTTTTACCTCGAGGTATCACATCTGCTCTGATCGATAGATGATACAATTTATTTAAAAGCTATAAATTCATTTCAGCTTGTGATTCTCACCTTCTCCTTCTGCTTACACTAGTTGTCTGAAACTTGCTATCCAACCCTCTCTTGCCCGTCATTCTTCTTTTCCTTACTTTTTAAATTTATTTTAATCAGAGATTCTCTACAAACGCTAACAAAAAAATTAGCGCATCGAAATATCATTACAACGAAATCCAAGCGTAGACGTTGGTACCGTATAAACCCATCGTTAATGTTAAATATAAAATTCAATTTTAAGGTTTACCGTTATCTGTTTCCGACTTAACAATAACCATAGCATTTGGTTTCGGATAAAAACGAAATAAAATATATTTTGTCAACTACTTTAACGTGACATATCCAAATTTTTCAACAAAGCGATTGAAGTTCTTCGATTAGCGTGAAATTTATCTTTACGATGTCGCCTTGAATTTAATGTTCCGATTAGAACGTCCGGACATTTTGAGTTTCCCGAATCCTTGCATGGTTTACTTCTTGATTTCTAGCCCAGTTGACACATTGGATTCGCTCGTCTTAAGATATCAAATTATCTGTTCTTCTTTGCGTCCTCCCATCCCTGCTCTATGTTGCAGATCAGAAAAACCTAGGAAAAGTTTGAGAAAAAGCTACACCGGCAGAATTGCGACAGCTTTAATTCCGAGGCAAAAATTACAAAACAATTACAACTGAATACTGCGGTGAGTAGAGAAAAGCTGTATTCAGCATCCAGAATTATAGCAATCTAGTTACAATGAGAAAACTTTCCGACACGATTTTTGACCCACTAAAAGATAAACATTTTAGGAAACTAGGACCAAAAAAAAAATACTCATGTCTGGGCGTTTAGACAGATCAAGTCGTTATGGTTTTTAGAGGTGAAAACAACTCCTAAATGGAAAGCAACAATACATCTTTTAAAAATTATTAATAACTTATAGAAATGTGTATCTATAGGTATTTGGGGTCGCTGATTATGAATCTGATGTCAAATTTTTAACTTCAAAATGGCGGTCAAAATTACTTAAGCCTAAAAACCATAAACGACTTGATCTAGCAAAACGGCCAGACGCAGTCGCAGCTTCGTAAAATATTTGATTTTTTCGTGGGTAAAAAATAAGTAGATTTTTGTCGGCTGGTGTAATATAATGGTGGGGGCACAATGCACGCTATCTGGTTTGTTTCAACACCAGAATAATGTTACTAATAATGTTACTAAATTTTTTTTTCATATGAAATTCCCTTTTTGAGCCTAAGGGTTATATGCGAGGCCCAAGTAAATGATCACCTCGCGAAAATTTTGGAAACTTCTATCCATTTGGGGTGTTTTTCGAATACTTTTTGCACTTAAAGGGCGGTACCGCACCCATAACTTGAGGCATTTTTGTTTTAAAATGCTCAAGTGTTAAAGGTTTAGCGGCACAAACAAAAACTTTTGCATAGCAGCATAAAAAAGCGGAGTCAAATCGATCTCGGTGGTCAATTGACATCGCCTAGATGGGAGATTACGCGGCCGACATTCGCACCATTACCGCCTTCAAGCACCAAAGAGCTCACCGGAAAGTATGGTGCTGAATGGTCAACTGGCTTCAATTGTTTTGTGAGCAGATTTTTATATGAATGCAATTGTAAGTCCAAACACAAATTACGGCATAATCCCAGCTCTTGAGAACGCTAAGAAATAAACACATTCAGGTCTTCAGCTACACTTTCACTTAAAGTAGTGATATTTGAGATGGAACGAGCAAAACTATGATGCACAGTCTGTTCGAATTTCTTTGAAATTTTATCAACTGCTTGACGATTGTGAATACCATAAACTGCTCATAAAGCACGGAACTGGGAAACGTCTGAATCACCACTTTTGTAGAAAATTTGTGCGGTCGTTAAGCGACCCATTGTCATACCTTGCTGGTTTGGCAGCTAAGTTTGACAGAAATCAAAATACTGCGCTGTGCTTCTAACACCAATCAATGGGCAAACATGTATTAATTATAAAAAAATGAGTTTTTATGGTCGCCGCGATAGCCAAGTGGTTAACTAAGCGAGTCCTGGTTCAACCAACATTCAAAAATTATAGAAAATTATTTGATGTGTCTCATCTCCGAATTTTTCATATTAGAGCCCGGTGTTAGACTAGTAACTAGCACCATACGAATGACGAATATGACGAATTACAGCAATAAAATAAGCGTCGTTTTATGCTTAATGCAAAAGCTTCAAATAAGCGTTTCTTCTCTACTTTAATAATTACACATAAATGTGATTAAAATTCTATTTATAGCAAATTATGAGTTCAAAGAGAAAAATTAATTACTGAAAATACATTTTGAAATGGTATAAACACATACATATACATGCACATAAAATTGGCACGAGCCAATACATTAAGTGGAAAAATGTCACCGAAAGTGACGACGGGTCGATGGGAAAGCTCGCTGCTGTTGCATCGGATGCTAATAATATCGATTTCATTTTAATGTGTGTTTACACTTTTTCTATGAACGATGGGTATCAGGGTGTTGTCACTTGGAAATGTGTTTACTGTTTGCATGTTAAATACATGCAGCTCCTCCTGCCGGTATCTTTCGATCGAATGGGCCACCAAGGCGTATACTTAATATTGAAATTAATGTTGTCGTCGATTACGTTTGTGTTTACATCAAGGATTTGACAGTGAAATCACTTCGCATTACTGACAAGCATTGCTTAGAAAGCAGTATGTACATACATAAATACGGCCATGGATGTTAAGTATATACATATGTATGTGTGCATATGCTTAGTACGTTTCTCATTTGTAAACAAATACATATATACTCGTATGTACATAGTGAACCTACACGCGAACGTGACAAGTGTGTGTTTACGTGATTACATTTGCACACGCCAAGGATATTCCACTCAACAAAGATAGTTTATGATTGTAAATAATGTGCGAAAATTATTTAACTTTTCTGCATTGAAAAATACATCATTCAAACACGTTAGCAATAATTTAAGCATGTTTTGTTCTCTAACACTTTCTTGTTCTTTGATCTTCTTCAGCATATTTTTGAAATAACAAGCTTCATATGAGATAACCTTTTAACGAGTTTCTTTGCAAAGTTCATCTTTATATGCTCATACACATGCATTTTGCATTGAACGGCAATTTTTTTTCTGTACCAATCTATCCAAAAGAATCATATTAGGTGTAGTAAAAAGAAACCCCTAATATCAGACAATGCTTTAGGGCTTAGAAGTAGAGCACTGTTGCAAGTCCACTTGCTGATCAGTATTGGGGTTATTAACACGATCATTGACGAATTTACCTTTTTCTGTAGCACTTTTTCCTTACATGTGTCATGCCAAGCACATGGTATTCCATCATCGATAGATTTATACCTGATATACATTTACAAATCGTTCAAATTTATTACGAAAATTCTCGTTCTGTAAAGAATGTGTTTCGCGTGCTTCATTCAACTTATGGTCAACATAACCCATCTTGACATCTGTTATTGGATAAAATTCGACCGAATAGGCCACGTCAGCGGCCGTAACGGAGCGTGTGCACGAAGACCGTGAATAGCCGATACGGTCTCCTTCGTAGCAACTCGAACTCACGTATGGATCATTTTGGCGCATTCTATATCCTAAATTGAAGGTGTACAAAATACAGCTCGCGCAATAACTAATCCCGCACGACCTTCTCAAGGCGATGAGGTCCATTTCTCCCAGAAAACACAACGCTTTGGTGCGGTTTGTGGACAGGTAGAATCTTTGGTCCACATTCGTTCAAAAATTATTGTTATCGAGGCATAATAACCGACTATTTGATGCCTAAAACTGAATCTCGTGAGCGCAGCCACTTTTGGTCTCTACACTTTCCACGAATCACAGTTTAACGATAGTTTAATGTTTTGGGTAACGAAGATTGTGTCATATCACACCGTTAGATTTTTTCCTTTGCGGATATGTTAAGTTAAAAGCCTACCAAACAATCCCGCTTCAACTCAGGCCTTGAATCAAAACATTACGCTTATCAGTCTCCAGTTAGCAGTCGAAATGCTCGAACGAGCTATTGAAAGTTGGACTCAACGAGTGGACAATCTGAGGTGTGTTCAAAAAATATCGCGAATTTTGTGTTTTTTTTCAAAAATTATTTATTTATTCATGAATATCTATTTTGTCCCCTGTAAAGTAATCCCCATTAGATATTATACACTTGTGCCAACGGTTTTTCCAATCTTCGAATCACTTCAAAAAGTCATTTTTTTATCTTGTTCAGCTCCTCCTTCGATGCCGTCTTTATCTCGTCAATCGGTTCTTTGATCCATTTTTTGAATAGGTAAAAATCGAAGATCATCCAAAACACGTGCAAGCAAGGCAGCTGTCAACAATTAAGTGAACATTCAAAATGGCCGAGCTTGTCGGCATAAGTGACAGACATGACGCCACAAAAAAATCGAAGTTCGATTATACGTAACCCGCGAAAAATCAAAATTCGCGATACTTTTTGAACATACCTCGTACAACGGAAAATTAACAAGAAAGGAATTTAAGTAACTGGAATGGTTGGTTTAACTTCCAACAGCACAAACATTTTGAAAATTGAAAATGAACGCCATATAGGTCAAACGCATTAGACTCCACGCTATGAACGGACCATCATCTACAAGGATAAAATGTGAAACCAAGAACCATTCTATTGGTTTATAGACATTAACTTTCCCTACCTATTTTACTGATAAAATCCGAAAAATGTGCAAATTTCTCATTAACTTGTAAAAGGAAATGTTATTGCCTAATAACGAGCTTAAAATGGAGCACCAATTAAAATAAGCATTTTGCATATACAAAAACATTTCAATTTGCCTTCTCTCTGAATTATCGCACTTACCCATTAACACAAAATTCGTCGGCGTCGCCATGTGTTTCTTGCTTAGCACCACTACAATTAGTGAGTTCGCTGCAACCGTTATAACCAATAGAAAAGGCATACAGTAACCATATAAAGGTAGACCATACTCCAGCGGGTATTCACACGTCACATTCAAATACGTTGTATTCGTAGCCTCATCGAGAGCTAAGCACGGTGGCGGATATTCATAATAATAACTCGAATTATGATCCATTAATTGTGTGTCATTATAATCACTTGTGCTGCCTATTGTTGCAATGAGGCCACTATAACTCCCACTAACTGTACCATAGTTGTGCCAATCAGAAGCACCGCCACTGCCACTACCCTCGCCATCACCTCCGCCATCGCTACTCCAGAAGGGAAGCGCTGTAGCTGTGGCTACACTATCGCTACTAGAAGCCGGTGTCGCGTATGTTGCATTGCTTGTATCCAAAATTGGTGCCATAACGGCGGCTATAATCTCGGTAACAGAGCTAGAGTATTTCCTACTATATTGTTGGATATGTTGTGCAGTCATGATCTGGTGACACAGTTGCGTTCACTTGGATTACGTGCCCACTCACCTGTGAGCCAACAATGGTCACGTGCGTGTGCGTCTAGCTTTTTTAAAGCTTCTGGCGCCTATGGTATGAAACTATTCAATGTTTTATTTATTGTTGCACATTTTTAGTTGCAATCTTTCAACTACGCAAATATGCCACTTTTATGAGCTTCCATTTAGTTATTGTTTTGTTGAAAAATCTCCTGGGTGATTCATCGCTTTAAGGGATTCATCAATCGTCTGTAAAAATATAAAATGTTGATATTTGTTCAATATATTATATATTTAGACCTTCAAAATACAAAACGCTTAGCAATTTTCAGACAGAAATTATTTACAAATATAAACTAAGTTCGAAAAAATATCAAAAGCCGAGGTCGGAATACCAACTACTTCAAGCAGGGTGTAACCTGTTGGATTGGTACGGGGTTTTTCATACTAAAAAATTCAGAACACGATATTCACCCTAACATTTGTTGTTCAAAAATTAACATTACAAAAAATAAACGTTTTCGAAAAACCCTACCTTCAACATTTCCAGATTAAGAGATAGAAATTAAAAAGTAGAGTTATATTCCGATTAATGATAACAATATTACTGATGGTGATTACAATCCTAATTCAAGCTTAGTTGTGATATTATCTAATATATTATTATATATGATTTTTTAAGAGCTATTGGAAAGTTAAAAAAAAAAACTAACATTCAAAAAAATGCATGAAGTCTTTATTTGAATCGATAATACGGTCCATAAAATTTAATGTGTTTAGATTATTTCACGCAAATGTTAACCGTGACGACGCCTCAATCGATCCGGTTAGTCCAAATTTGGCATACTCTTTCCAACATTTCGGCCAGTGTCTCACGACTAAGCGCTTTAATGTTGTCCTTCTATGCGTGAAATGAATCGGGCTTGTCTTTAAAGACATTAGATTTAACATAGCCACCCAAAAAATAGTCAAAGGCGTTAAATCGCACAATCTAGGCGGCCAATTGACCGCTCCCGAACGTGAAATAAAATGTTCACCGAACTCGCCTCTCTATAAGTCCATTGTTAAGCGTGCTGTGTGGCATGTGGCACCGTCTTGTTGAAACCACATGTCATGCAAGTCAAGCTCTTGGAATTCGGGCAAAAAAATAGTTTGATATCATCTCACGATAGCGCTCACCATTCACAGTTACGTTACGATTCGCATCATCTTTGAAGAACCAATGATGCCACCAGCACATAAACCGCACCAAACTGTGTCTTTTTCTGGATGCATTGATAGCTCTTGCAATGATCTTGCTGATCTTCACTCCGAAAATCGGCAATTCAGCTTATTTACGCACACGTCAAGCCAAAAATGAGCTTAATGACAAGATAGAAGAGGCGCACAATGAACTTTCTTAACAGAACACGCATTTTGATTATAAAAATCAATAATTTGCAAGCTTGGTTTGTTTGTTTGTAAGACGATTCATGGTTAAATAATAGACCAAACTGAAGATGTTTGATAGTGATACAAAACACGAAACGTGAGTCGGCTATTTAAACCAATGTTGTCAAAAGGGTCATAGCTAAAAAATCACTATTTTCAGATAGCTTAGTACTTATCTAAATACTTATCAGGTGTTCAACTTTGCCTCCGTTTTTTTCCAAAATTAAAAGCTTTATTGCGAAAAGGTGCTTACAGACATATTATTCAAAGTATTGTCCTTCGCTAGCGACAACTTTCCCCATCTTTCCGGCAATTTTCGGATTCCGGCTCGAAAAAAGGAGTCCGCTTTTGACGCTATCCATGAAGCAATCCATTTTTCCAATTCTTCGAAGGATTGAAAATGTTGATCTGCCAGGCCGTGTGCCATCGAACGGAATAGGTGGAAGTCGGAGGGGGCGACATCTGAAGAATACGGCGGGTGGGGCAAGACTTCCCATTTCAGCGTTTCCATGTACTTTTTAACCACTTTTGCGACTTGAGGCCGAGCATTGTCGTGTTGGAGCATGACTTTGTCATGTCGACTAAGGCGCATCAGTTGCGTTCGGTAGCGATCTCCTGTGATGGTTTCACCCGGTTTTAAGAGCTCGTAGTAAATCACACCGAGTTGATCCCACCAAATACAAATCATAACGTTGTTTGTCTTCGAAGGTTCGTTATGGTTCGATCAGCATATGTCGTAAACTACTCGACCAATCGCTATCTAAGCGACGACTATATCGAAGTTGGTAGCGCCATGGACAGAAGATTGATATTTTATTAAGATTTAATTAAAGGAAATTAGTTCGGGATTTTACCGAAGCTATATAAAGAGAAAAAGAAAATAATAAGCAACTTGATAGCCAACTAAAATGCAAAAGAATAACAGCAATATTTTTAGAGAGCAGGTAATAATAAAATTTGTAATTATTTTTTCATACATCAGGAATAGACGTAATCAACTGTTTCTTACAAAGGTTGGATTTCCAATTTACGAAAAGAATTTTTTGCTTCATCAACGTGTCATCATATCTCATAGGCACTATTGGAGCTATCGAATGCACTCATGTGTCAACAATGAGCCCTCGAGGCCATGAAGAAGCCTATTCCAAATGGTGAAAGTAAAATTTTGTTCAATTGTTATTGTAGTAACACCGTTTATTACATTTTTACATACATAGATACGCCATCTTTGTCCCAATTTTTTTGGCGGTAAATGCTAAATACCCGGAAACGCTAGCCCTTCTACATTATAAAAAGTCAACTAGTTAAGTTTTGAAAATGAAGTTTTAAAATCCTTAAAGAAAAATATTTGCTACCAAGAGTTTGTTTCGTTTTTATCACTCCTCTTTGTTGGTTTTTGCATATTTGACCTTTTTTAAACTGTGGTGCCAGCTTTCCTTCATTTTAATAAAAACAAAACAAAATGAGTTAGCGAATCGCATAATCGTCTGTATAAGCTACAAAAATTGCATTCCGACAGAAATTACTGAACTTCCCTACTGATCTGAAATTAGTTATGTAAACTCGAAGTTTACAAATTGGCGACCGCAGTGGCCAAGGGGTTAGCAATGTATGCTACAATACGAGTTCTGAAGGAAAAACAATTTGCGCAATTATGGCGGCCCTTCGGTAGAGTCATTCATTTACTAAAATTTTTTTTTTCTGACCTGAAATAAAAAGCCTCTCATAGCTCCTGGACGTGTCTTAGAAAGGTCACTTCATTTGTGGGCAAACATCAATACAAGCAACACACCTATTTTATAAATAAACTCATACCCCATACTCGGGGTATTTTCTTACAAATTATTTTAAGTCGCAATTATTGAAATCCTGATTGTTTGTTGTATTTTTCAATTTCACGTTTATAATTACTAATTTCCTTACTAATCAAATACTCAACAGTATACAAAATCAATAATAGTACATACATTTATACATTTATGAGCAAAATGAGCTGCTGCAAATTTTAAATTAAACATTCCCAAGCTGTATGTACACATACACACACACACACATATACACAAGCTTTGCTTTTGAAGAAAATATGAAGAGAATATGAAAATGCTTCGATTTGAATAGTTCAGCCTTTGAACGGAAATTAATTATTTCCTTCCATTCTCAGGGGCAAAGCAAACAATTTTTGCTTTGAAATGAATAATTGCAAACAATTACATATTTACGTGCTTTCGATATGCACACTGAAGTCTCAAATATTTAATTTGGCAAAAATAATTTCGATTGAGAGATTATTTTTGTGAAAACATTGATCTAAGTCATATTATTATTATTCTCTTATATCCTACATTGTTTGTTTTTGGCTTAGATAATGGTTTGTGATGCTTTCTGTGGAATAAATGTATGTATGTGGTTATTTACGTACGACCATACGGAGTCGAGAAATATAATAAGGTAATTTTTTACCTAATTCATACATTTCAATGGACCCTAAAATGAAATACCAGCAAATAATCAACCATTTTACTTATATTCCATCGAATTGTATATTTATGGGGTTGCCCCAAAAGAAACTGGGCGGCGTTGGCAATTTTTTTTAACAGTTATAAGCTATCACTTTTAGCTTACTTTGGAAAAAGATTACGCGTAATTGTTTGTTCATATTTGTTTTTTGCGTCAAGGAAAAGATGCAGCGGAGGTTGCTTAAGAGTTGTATGGTGATAAGGCCGTAAAGAATAACAGTGTGGAAGTTGGTTTGTCAAATTCCGTTCGAAAGATTTTTCACTCAAAAATAAACCGCGTTCAGGTCGGCCAAGTTAAATCGATGATGACAATATCAAGGCTTTAATTGAATCAGATCGGCATCTTACTGATCGTGAGTTCGGAAAAAAGTTAAGTATACTAAAATCAACCGCTCATAATCATATACAACGTGAGGTATATTTTGTGCTGCTTCCAAAGAACCAAACGATTAATTCGAATTTTACTGTCAACAATTGGACAAATTGAAAACATCCATCAAGGAGAAGCGACCAGAATGCAACAATCGCAAAGCTGTTATATTCCACCAAGACAACGCTGGACCACACACATTTTTGATCACTCGCTGAGAGAGCTTGGCTGGGAACTGTTGATGCGTCCAGCAGATTACCCTGACCTTGCACCGTCAGACTACCATTGGTTTCTATATTCATAGTACTCATTAAATTACTAAAACTTTCGAAAATGACGAAGCTATACAATCGCACTTAGTTTTTAGCAGATAAAGACCAGAAATTCTATGAGCGTGGAATAATGATGTTGCCAGAACGATGGCGAAAATCAACCAACAAAATGAAAATTACATAATTGATTAAAACTCATAATAATATTAAGAAAAATGTATTTTTTTCTTTCATAAAATCCCCGTTTTCTTTTGAGGCAACCTAATAGTTTCCATAGTCTTTATATCTTAACGAAACTATTCTCACTAGCCTTCAATAAAATTACCAAATTCTACATAAAAAAATGCAGATTCGTATATAGGCAACAATGTTTTAAGCTCATATTGACTACCAATTTTTAATATTTACCTTCAAAAGCTTCCACAATACTTTGATTAATAACATTTTTGAATGCCCACCAAGCTTTTAAATCAGTGATTTTCATTGGAGCTTTTTCCCAATTCATCAAAGGCATTGTTTGCTTATACCGTCAACAATCGAAACACGAGGAACTCTTCAAATATTGGTGTGGTAATCCATTATTTTTCCAATAGATTGACGTTATTTATATGTTTCTCGCATTGTATAAGCACTAGAAAGGTGATTTTGCGTCCTAAAGAG